GTTAGATCATATATTGTTACAAAACAAAAGAGAAATAAACTGGTAGTAGGAGAACTAGATAGAAATGAGGGGAAAAATGGATTCCTTAGTCCGTTTATGAACCAGGACTCACCTGTACCGAAATGTTGACAAAAGAGAAAAAACCAAGTTTCATTATCTCTAATGCAGAAGAGCCAGATTCTCTAAGAAGCTGAAATAGAGAGGAAAAACAAACGTCAAGAGGCAAAATGGAAGATTATAGTTAAAATTAAAACAAAGAGAGCTGCAACATCAATAGAAGGCTCTATACCTGTATCTCACTGAATTCCAACTGGACATCAACTCGTGTACTCTCCCCAACTTCTTCAGTTGGTTTTGATTTGAAACTTTTCAACTGAATGTACTTGACGTAATTTTCAACAACAATATCATGTTCCCGATGCACAAACTTCACATCTATTTTTGGTAAGTTGAAACAAATCTGTCTCAGAAAACAAATGATAGAACGAATGAATAAAACTTACTATCAGTGCATTCAAATAACTTGAGCATTGTATATTTTCTTCAAAACAAGACAATATAGCTCCATGAAACAAACACCTATCTTCTTCCGTACGGTATAGAATCTCAGTAAAGCGCCTTATATGAATACTTATTTGATTTCTACCATTCTTAGCTTCCTCATTACCCCTGAAAACTGGCAGCCTATTCTTAATCTCACCAACGGTAAGCCAAAGCAGTTATCACAAGCAGGTTGGAACTACATCTTTAATTGCCCAATCCCATAGAACATTAAATAACAATTTTCATGATAGATAAGGAGGTAAAACAATCATGAACAAGGTCCAATACCAGTGTTTTTGCACTCTGTTAATGAAGTACTGTATTCAATAGCAACTTTAATTAGAAAAAGGTTTCAAACCTTGAAAGACAGGAAAACATATAGCAAACTTGACTCCATTGATGAGTAAAAGAACGAACCTTTTCCGGAAAAACAGAAATTTGCTTTCTCAATGCTAAAATCGCAGCTTGTTTCTTATCAGGCTTTTTAGTGGTTGAGGAATCAGCTGTTGACTCTTTACCTTTATCAGTTTGACAAGAATCATCTGGTGGTTTTTTATTCTTGGAGAGCAGCTTCTCATCGAGGTTTACAATAATCTCTCCAAAGTTAATGTCCACATTTCGGACTACTAAACCAGCTTCACTGAATGCAAATTTTAAAAAAGAGAGCATATTTTAGCACATAAAGCAAAAGCCAAAACCAAAAGTACATGTTTAAGAAGAGAAATGAAACCCAAGGGAGCTTTATGCAAAAGCTAAAAATTTACTATCACTAGCCAGCCAACAAAATTATGCCAAAGACTAATGTGGAGGAATTATTCGGCCTCTGTAAAGAAAAATTCAGAGAGAAAAGAAATACCAAATTCACAAGAGAGAGAACTCTTCACAACTAGAAGGAGAAAAAGGCGTTTCCATACTGTCAGAGATCAGCTAACAGCTTGGACAGAAATGGGTAATATGTGTAACAAAACAAACAGATTTGATTTAGAGCCACCATCTTTAGATATATCTAGCTTGATTCCCTTAACTTCAACAGTTGCTTTAGGTGTCTGCATGATTCCAAGATAAAATTAACTTGAGTACATAGACTTTCAAATATAAATAGACAGCTTTAAAAGGAAATTTGAAGCAAAAATTGGCACTGGATATATGTGAAACTGGGCCATTCAGAGATTCTTGAACCTTAACTAGATGATAAGGCATACATGACATACGTTTATGAAAAGGATCAAACTCTAAACAGTTCATGTTTATGAAAATTAGCTGGTAAATATGTCTATTAGAATCATGCTCCAACACCAATTTGCTTAACCTATATCATTACTCATTGTGCCCTATCAAACTCGGCCCAGCTCTCCCTATCTAACATTTATTCCAGTGAACAAACAGACACTTGCACATCATAAAAGCATTAAAGTATGTGCTGCAAATGAATTGTATAAAAGCCAAATTGTTGCTTATGGGGAAAAAATGGTCAAAGACCGCGATTACCTTCAAAGCCAAATCTGTAATAGAAACTGACAAAAATCTTGCAATGTTACCTACAGCCAACAACTTCTTTCCCTTGCCTGAAGAGCTTTTACTTGAAGGCCTCAATACAATTTCTGGCTTACTTATTGACACCTGCAGCTTTAAATTCTTAGAAACTCTGCCTGTCCCAAGTTTAACCGAGGACTGACATGAACTGAGCTTAATTTCATCCACTGATACGGATTCAAGAGCACCCTGAAAATTAACCAAGCAAAGTTTATGTTAGATACCAGTTTTTTTCTTAATCCATAACCACCCATCTTTCCAACTTTAATAAATTCCTAACCAAGTTGGAATCTGATGGATACTCCGACTGTTATGCTTAGAATCCAGAACAGAAACCTCAAAGCAAATCTGTGAAGTAAAATAATATGTATAGCATAAATTTTAGCTATCACATATGGGTCATCAGTCATCACTCATCACCTCAAAGTTCGAACATAATATAAACATTAATTAAGATAATTTTTTGAAGTATAGACAAAAGCAGTTTCGATATATGAATATCTCATTGGAATTATTTTGCTCGAGAGAAGAAATAAATCACATGTGCCTGTTACAAACTTGCAAGTAACTAAGTTTACAGCATATGAAACCGCTTTTATCACCACAATTACAAACAACACAAACAAACAGTAAAGAACGATGGGAAGATTTCCCTTAAAAACAATCCCAAACACAGAATGATAAAATAGAAATGCTTAAGCGAAAAGCTGATTCAATGAACATTTCAGATAATATAAAATAATAATAATAATATTAGCATGGGCATTTTCGAATATCACTAAGCAGGAAAAGGTGAAAAGTGGATGTACTTGCATGAAAACTATCCACGATGTAACGGAAATCACCAGAAATCCAAAGATAAACTTAACCCACATTTTTTTTCCTAGTGACAAAACTTTACTTCTACGGAACCAAAAAAATCCAATCAAATTATGGAATTCAAAAAAAGAAGACAAAGTAACTGCTAAAGAATAAGAGCTCTGAACATAATAACATGAAGCTGAAAACTAGAGTAAAAGGAGGAAAGGAAAACCTAAAGAAATTGAACGTCCGAAAATTATAAAGCGATCGAAGAGTTCATCTGTGGAAATGAGACTGAGTCTTGGAAGCGCAGCGACCGCAAGGGAGAGTGTCGACATGATACATGATCCGATCCGTGAGGTGCTCAGTGATCAAATGGAAAGACTGTTATTCTTTTGTTTCCGTTTTTTTCTGTTAGTGTAACAGGGGTTTGAATCGGATGGTGCGTGGGTGCAGGGGAAGGTGCTGTTTCAAATTCCCAACTGTAAGAACTTCCAGCTAGATTCCTGCTAAATCATAACATATATTTTTTTATTAAATGTTTACAAGGAAATATTTGTTTAAAAATTTCTTAACATATTGAGTATTGACAATGCACATATTTGCTACTTGAACAAGACCTCTAAAAAATCAACATTCTTTTTAATTCCAAATAAAATTAATACATTTATATGATACAAATGGTCTCGCATCACAGATGATCTCTTAACATTAACCATAACAACAACAACAACAACAACATAATAATAATAATAATATCAAGTATTCAAATAATTAATTTGTGTCACTAATGTTACATATAATACAACCATCATTAAGGTTGTATATTAATATTAATATTAATAGTATTTCCTATAGTCATACATTACAACAATGTCACTACCATTTACATATATATTATATAGGATAGGATCATATTACATAATGTACCATTCTTTTAGTTTAAACATATTTACGACCGTTGGATGAGTAAAAATAGAATATTGAGATTAATAGTAGGAAATGAGAAGATATTAATAGGAAAAAAAAATAAACAAGGAGTCAATCTCAACCATCTATTTTCACTCATTCAATGATCTTAAATATGTGTAAAACTAAAGAGTTTTATATTGTGTAAGACAAGACTAAAGAGTTTTATATTGTCATTAAGGTCATTTATTAATATATTGCTAATAAAGTTAAAATTTTAGTCTTGTCTAATCAATTCATCTATAAATTAAGTTATAAGGACCACTATAACTAAATACAATCAATCAAATATCATATTTATAAAAATTATGGAAATGGTGCACTACCTCTATTTCTAATAATAAAAACTCTTTCACCATTTTCCCGTCACCTTTTCTCTCTCTTTTGTCTTAGAGGATTCTTACACTTGTTTTATAAACAACCAACAAAATACTATTTAAGAAATGCATAAAATGGGAAAATAAATGCAAATCCCTATCATAGCACTTCAAAATCTCTTTATTGTTGATTTTATTATAAATTTTAATGTTATATTTAAATTAATACGATTAAATTTTGTTTTTATTTCGTTGCAGTCTGACATCTTTAGGGTATATCAGAATGAAAATATTGCCAAATCTATTGAAACACTTAACAAAGAAAGAAAGAAAGAAACTATGAAAGATATATCGTAGTCGTAGTAAATGCGGACTTCGATCTCATTGTGTGTCCCATTTTTATTCCTCACTATTTTGAGGTTAAGATGCAGCCATTTACAATTGATCTGCGTAATGTCTCACTATTTCATGTTAAACTCTTCTAATATTGAAGTTTGTGCTCTTTTCCTTAATTTGTACGAAATCTCACATGTATGTATTGCTTATTGTACTTCATTCTTATTAATGAAATTTTATTTTGTTAAAACATAGTTGAACCGATAATTCAATTTCACATTCTACAATTATAGTTTTTCATACTAAACTACCCATCAATCAGGCAGGTCAAAGCTTGATATAAGATCATTTTAGACCAAATCATTCCCCAATATTAAATTTTTTCCAATCACTTCGGCGTTTAACATTTTTCAAGTTTATATCAAAAATTAAGAGAGCCTCTTGGATCTTCGTTTTTTCTTGACAAAACCTGAAAGAGAGAAATGATGGCGAATTTAAAACTGCCAGAGCCATCCAAATAGTTGATGTATAGAAAATATAAACATGTATCAGTTCAAAAGTCAGCTCTCAAGTCCCTTTTATACCCAACAAGATCCCAATCTTCAGATGTTATCTACATTATAACTCTAATTATCTTAACCAAATCCGAACCCTTCATTGGCTTCGTGAATTGCGAGCAACAATCTCTCTTCTAGATGTTCCTTTGATGGATACTCGGGTAAATCCAATTGATTGAAACTGCATTAATCACAAACAAAGGTCCGTAAGTATCACAATGTAAATTGCAAAGAAGGAAATCATTAACCGATAGGGGCCAAAAACCCAAAAAGAAGGAAAACAATTTACGGGCTAAGTATATATATATATATATATATATATGGACAAATAACATAGAGATGACAGGACTAACTACCAGGTGTGAGCAGAAGGCAAGTGGTTAGAGCTACCATATGCTTTGTGTATCTGAAACTTTTGGGAACCTGAAATACCTTGGAGTGCACTAAAACCTTCTAAAGGCACCTGTAAAATTACAGATATCGAGAATTAGTATTTGAGATCTGTTATTGAAACAAAAGTTATCTTCTAAACTAATATCTCTCTCTACAAGCTTGAAAGAAACAGACAGGTCATGCTTTTTACCTGAATCCTAATTCAAGTATTAAATAGTCAACCTTTAGATTAAACTATAGTTGATAACTTTAAATGACAAATACAAATAGTATTTATCTGATAATTTCGGGTGTTGAATTACCTTGGAGGTGCCCGTCACAAACTGTAGAAGTCGAGCTTTATCCTCCTTACTGAACCCTTGAACAACTTCCCAAAACCACTGTATAACAGGTGATGCGGTACTATAACCAGAGTACTCAGTATTTGCCCTCATATCATCCACTAGGAAATATAAATCACAAATCAGGTCAAATTCAGAAGATGGTGGCAAAATAAAGCATTCTAACATTAAATTTATTGGCTTACAATCTATTTCTGGAAGACCACTAATCAGTAACTCAAGCTCCTTATCATTAAAAATGGATATCAATTCCCTGGGAATTAATTCATTGAAGCCTTCCAAAAATGCATTTATTTGAGGACGAATAGCAGTGGTCAAACGATGCTCAGCAACTAAATCAACGTACTGATGTTTATTCTCCTCGGTAACCTTAATGTTCCGGCCACCAGGAATCAGTTCATAGTCAGTCACCTGCACCGTATATGGTAAAGCAGATTTTATAACCAAGAAAATGGTTCTGACACAAAGGGCTTCATGAAAGAATCAATGAATAATAATTAGTACCTGTGTCCTTTCATATAATATTAGCTTCTCCTCATCAGCATCAACGCTAAATGTAAGATCGGGGACATCACTAATATCATTCTAAAAACAAACAATGAAAAAGGTAAGGGGGAAGAAAAGCTGCAAAATCATACTCTCAAATGAACCATGAAAGGTAAATGCCAGCAAACTAACTAACAAGCTCAATTGCTTGATCTGCACTTAAGAAAAAAAGGTGGAAATGTAGAAATTTGGAATATCACAGACCTCAAGCATCCACTTTAAGTTTTTGAAGTAATCAGGATCAATTGCTTCAATGTCATGGTATGTAACTTTGGCACCCAAGATATGCTTGTAGAAAGATCGAGTAAAGTGGACATCCAAGAGCTGCCCATCAAAAAGTGCTTTGCCAACCTGGAAAATTTCAGTTACAAGTGAATGAAAAGTTCCAACGAAAAAATTGTGTCAATCCAATAGGAAACAAGAGAAGATACTAACAACTTGCCCAACAAATTTTAAGTATGAAAGATGTTCAGTTTGGTAGACAGAATTGGGGTTAGGCTGGAATGTTGACTCATTGCCCACTGTCGTGAAAAGCAATGCACCTTTGTCAAATATAACCCTGGACAACAGCAGGTACCATTCCCTCGTAAGCCCACCAGCATCAACACCTTCCTCTCCTTGGAAGTGAATGGTCAATCTCCCCTTCAAATCTTGAGTTGACCGCATCCGTAGTTGGTTATATGAATCCTCAAGTATGTAAGCTCTTCTAACCGATATCCTTAGAGGACTGTGATGATGATCATGTTGTTGATGCTTTATTTTGGACCTGAAGTGAGCACGTTTATTATCAAAATCAACAAAGCGAGGAACCTTCAGCAAGAGTGAAAATGACTTCTCAAGAAGCCCGGGATTCTGGCGGATGAAAGCATTTAACAACTTCCTATGCCTCTCTGAGAACTTCACAAAGGCAACATGTTTTTCATCAAATTTTGAGACAGAAGCAGCAGTTTTCTGCTGGCCACCAGATGGGGTGCTGACATCCTCAACATCAGAAAGTACAGCCATGCCGAAATCACTACCATAACCTGGTTGTGCAGGATGTAATTTCTCGCACATCACAAAGAAAGATTCTATATATGGTAAGATGTTCTGCGTGCCTGCAGGTAGGGGTGGTTTTAAACCAGATTGTCTTGATGTGGAAGTCCTGGGTGTAGCTAATAAATCTGGTGCAGAATCTGAATAGCTCTCAATTTTGCTTATGCAAGTGCTCAACTCTATCCACAAAGGTTCTAAGGCGGTATTAATGTCCCACACCTGAGAAACGGCAGAAGAACGCTCTCTTTCAGGAAGCAGCTTAAGATCCTTTTCTTTCTCAGTTATTGAGGTAAGAAGAGAACTTAGAGCCTGTAAAACCCTTAATATTGCAGCTCCATCAGAAGATGTTGTGCTGAGTAGAGCCTTCACAGCTTCACTGAACATCTTTAACTCATCCATGGCAGATTTAATCAAATTTTGTACAGCATCTGCTAGCTCAGAAATAAAAAGATGACAATGGCTTGGAGCAATAGCAACCATCTTTTTCATTACCTCCGCCACCAGACTATATGCATTATCTGACAAACTGGGTAGGAAACATAACATGAATCCAAGCAAATAGAACAAAATACATATATTCAAGATTTAACGAAGAAAAAAATATTTCATAAAGAGGTGCTAACTGCAAAATCCATTCTCCAAGTTGAATTTTATTTTCCTGTGGTGTGTGTGGTGGTGGGTAGGCAGGTGAAGTATTTTTTTTTTTTGGGGGGGGGGAGGGCGGGGGTGTTCAGCATCAGTTTCAACCCAGAAGTTATGCAACTTTTCTACAACTGAAACATAAGAGAAATGATGGAAACATAGACGTCTGTCAAAATATATGGCACAAAGAGACTTACCCTTCCCGTGCAAGCAATGAACATAAAAGCCGGAGCTCTGTTTGTGGGAGATTGGTCAATACACTCTGTGCATCACATTCCTTACTTGCACAAGATGTTGAGGGTGTGGATGAATCAACAGGCTTAAGAGGTGATTCAGCAGCCACAGGAGCATCAGGATTCTCAGCATTGATGTCATCAGACATTGAAATTTGCAAAGCAGGTGTCTGTTCAGTGGAAGTCGCCTTCAATTTCTCAGATGAAAGAGGTTTCCTTTCCGCATGGTCAATGATGACATCCAATAGGTTAAGCAACTGGAGCAAAATAAAAAAAATGAGCAAATAATGAACACAGATGAAAATTTGTTTAATTTATCAAGGTAATCACTTATCACCTGCTCAAGATGCGCTATACTTCTCAAGTACAGGGGTTGATGGAGAAGGCTCAAAAGCAATGCAATGGAAATGTTTCCTTCCTCTTGCTCCTCAATCATCAATGCTTTTCCACGTGACTGATCATTATTTCTTAGCTCTTCTAGGGTAGGAAACGGCAATCTAAGTTGAAGTAAGATCTTAGCAACATATGGATGGTTTCGAGTCAAGTAAGTGAGAGTTTCAAGAACTCGCCTAGACACCAAAGGTGGAACTCCTACAAGGAGAGAAGTACAGGATTAAAGAAATCGCTTTGAACCCAAATACTACAGGTTAAATCATGAACAAAACCACAAAACTTCTCTAGATATTAAACTCATTGAGAATGAGAAGTAAAAAGATCAATCCTCAAAAGGATAAAATGTTCTAATAAAATGGATGAGAAAAATGAAATTTTATGATGACACCCATGTTGAATCACCGAGGATCATTAACTCAAATCATGTGTATATAATATCTCACCATCAAAATGTTGAGGACGAGAATATATCACATTATTCCGGCAACCGTAAAGCCTGTACGGTGGTTCAATTGGATTTGAAAAACTGACGCGCTTTCTTATATCAAGCGTCAACATGTCCATCAAGATTTTAACTAGCTCTGTTCTGGTTTCATTATGGGCACATAAATTCAAGAGAAGCTTCTGCAATGAACCTTTATACAGTGGCTGCAAGATCAAAAATGTTAAGTGTATAAATAAAAATCAAAGATAAACATCAAAAAGAAAAAATTTCTGTGGGAGCACCTGCACCATGCGAAGTAACCGAACCATTGCTTGAAGAGCTTCTGGGCCAATTAAAGTGGTGCCTTCAGCTTCAATTAGCCTGGCAGAAACAGATCTGCGTGACACAATGCTTCCCCCCATCCTGTCAAAGCTGGATCCAATACCTTCACCTCTCCTAGAAGATTCACCTCTGCGATTCCTAGGGTACATCCCAAACAAGTTACGATTATGATAGCGATGTGCAAATCTCTCGCGCAACATGTTTGCCTCGGCTACAAGGGCAGGTGTGAGATTAGCAAGAATAGCATCAGAAGATGTTAATAGAACCTGAGAATAAAAAATAACAAAAGGACAAATGTTTAGGCATTCAACTTACATTTTAGATTTAACCACAATATAACAAGAATCATACCTCTTCCCTTAAATCAGAAGGAAATGTTGCAATTATTGAGACCGTGTCCATTTCAACTGGTTGACCTTCAAGTTCTTGAGATTGATGAACCCTTTGTGCTTGCTGTTGTGCAAGGACTTCAGCTCGTATGTCTGGGGGAAGGGCAGCAAGAAATTCAGGATCAATATCCCCAGAATTCTGTTGTTCAGCATTTGAAGGCTGCACCACTGGACCCTGCCGAGCGGAAAGAACTTCACAACGCAACTCCTCCGGGAGAGCATCTAAAAATGCAGGATCAATTGATCCAGAACCACCATCACTATTCATTTGCTGCTCAGCAGCTGTACCATCCTGATCTGCTTCTCGACTAGAATTCTCTGAAACCTCAGCAACACTATGAAGAGGTACATCTCTCCCACCAACAGCAGTAGAATTCCCAAAAGCCACATTTGTTCTTCTTGCACGCACAGCCTGTGGATCAGCAATTCTGTCAGAAGAACCTTGCCTTTCTCCACCATCATCATGGCCATCTGCACTTCCAATCTCAACATCAAGGCTGCGCAGGCTTTCCCCTAAAGTAGCCCCACTACCACTACTTTCTTGGCTCACTGCTTCAATAACACGAACAGCTGCATCATTCTGATCAAATTGCATTTCAACAGATTGTGGATGTATGTTTGATGCATCTGTTCCTGGCAGAGAAGCAGTAACTGCAGGTCTCCCATCAGCATGGAGAGAACTATCAATTGCTACAGAAGATAGGGCCACATTAGCATTTTCACTACTTTCGTTGTTTGCAACAGGAATCTCAGGTCTTTCCCCAGGCCTTGATACCTGTAACTGACTACCTTCACCATGGGTCTGAGGTTCCATTGTAGATGTATTGTGATCAGAAGATTTCTCAGGGACAGGTCGCCTGAGTTGAGAAACAAGCAGCTCTTCAAGGCCTTGTGGAACAGTAGCTGCACTTGGCCCACTGCTTTGCTGGCTCTCATCAACCCACAAGTTCAAACGCTGGTTGTTACGCCCATTCCTTAAAGAGCGGAAAATAGTATCCAACCGTGATGAGGTGCTGTCTGAGTTTCTGTTTGAATGAATCATATCACGGGAATTTTCTGGAGAAGACCAAAACAGAGAAAGGTGGAGGGTAGTTAAAAATATCAAATTAACAAGGCATTAAATTGTAAATTACAAAAATATATATTAAAATACAGAAAATAAAAACCTGACTGCCTTGTAGAGGCTGAGTGCAGTGATGAAGGTCCCACTAAAAGAGGATGTGTTGAAGAGCCTGAATTCTCACCACTGCGCCCCAAAGGACTGTAAATAGATGTACGTTCATGACGTGTAGAGCCAAAAACTTCAACTGGCATTACATGAAGAGTTTCATTGGCAAAGCTGTTGTCTCTGCCAAACACCTCAATTTGGTCAAACATATCCATTTCATTGAGACCCTCCTCTAGCCTTAGAATAACTCCACCCTCATCATCACCGTCATCCTCATCATCGTCCTCCAATACTTCATCATCAAATTCATCATCATCAATCTCATGATCATCTTGATCAGTATCAGGATGAGACAGGTGATGTACATCATCTTCCTCCAAATCATTATGGTCCTCATCTTCGTCATCGTCATCGTCATCGTCATCCCCCTCATCTCCAGACATCTCATCATCATCATCATCATCAAGGTTTTCTTGCTCATGGGGCTGGATTTCAAAATGAATCCCCAAATTTTCTATACCATTTCCAAGACCCCTTCCATCCTCGGAAGTTTCTCGCATATAGTCATCTTCAGTAGCAGGACCAAAACTTCCATTAAGATCCTGGTCATGATCCATATCATCTGTAACAGCTTCAGACCCACCATAATTTTGGACAGTATTGACTGGTTCTCCAGGATCAGCTGCAACAGCATCACGATTGGACTGAAATGCCATTTCCATGGGATGTGATGCATCAGCAATATTATCTTCTCCCCCGGACTGATTGTGATCAGCAGGTTTGACAGAATTCTCACCTTTGACAGCAGAAGAATCAGCAGAATGAACATATTCCTTGGTTACAAGTTCCAAAGCTTTGATGATCCCTGTTACGACTTTAGGTGACTCGGCATGATCCAAATCCAACACTTCAAGCATGCGTGTTAATGATGCAGCCAAACCAACATCAATAAATGTGGCAGAAGCTTCTGCTGAGATGCATGAGCCAGTTGGAGTACGAGCAATTAGTATATCATTCAACAGATCAACAAAGGTCAGCGTATCACTACTCGGAGATTTGAAACCTTCACAGGAATCAACAAAGTCATTGAAAATACAATTAATCTCAGTAAATACTCTCTTCCTGGCCTCTGTAGATCGCACACAAGATGCAACCAGAAATTGACTGGCCCTGATTGCTAGTTTATGCCTCCAGTCACCATCAATTTTCCTTTCCTTCTTTGAACTCCAGGAACATGGGATAAAATTGTGAAGGAAGTGGTGAAATATTCCACAACTTGATAAAGCAGCTGAGCTCCTCTGATAAGGGGCTCTGCAGCTACTAATTTCACCATCTCTCCGGAGCAGCACATGAACAGATGACGTGTACATCAACAGAATCTCAGACAAAAGTTTCAAGATGAAGACCATCTTTGCAAGTGAAGCAGAAACATCTTGCTCAGAAGCTTCATTCTCCTCTGACACAGTTGCAATGGCTTTTCTTTTACCCTTGCTGGCAGAAACATCAATCTCCATATAGGTTGATGATGTTGCATCAACAGGCACCTCTATTCTGATATCATCTGTCAAGGGAGGTACAAATGCACTAACTGAATCCAAAAGAAGCTCAATCACATTTACAAAGCTTTGAGGAGACTTTCTATGCATTTTAACTGACTTGGAATTTGAATCATTAAACTTCCCATGCCCATTCCCAGGACCTGCTGAATTCACATAGCACAAATTACCCTTTCCATCATTTTGTTGTACTTTATCTTTGTCGGATGCTTTCTCCTTCTCATTTTCTTTTTCCTTGAATTTATCTTTATCACGGTCTTTGATCAGAACAACATGGGGTCTCTCACCAACCATCTCAACTTGACAGAGAGACTTAACAGACTGCATAAATATAACTGGGTCACGTGAAATGACAGAACTTAGGTTCGCAAGGAAATTACGTGGACTGACCCTTCCATTTGAATGCCTGTTAGCCATAGCCGAAAGACTGTGCTTGATCTCAGTTTCCATTGCCTGCTGCAAGGTTTGAGGATCTTCAAGGACATGACGGATAATGGTAGCAGCCACATTATCAAACCCAGGAAAAAGACTACTTGTTGGCAATGAAAGAAGTGAACTTACACCCCCACCATCAAGAAAATAAATGGCAATAGAATGGGTTCTGGTAAGAGTAGCACATAGCTGTAGGACAGCATGCATTGTTTCAGATGGAAACTGGTTGCTTATACAACTACAAGCAATCTCTATCAGTCTCTTCTGCTCGTGAAGATTGATATGTCTTGCAGATGCAAATGAAGAATGCAACTTACTATTTTTATACTCATCAATACTAACAGATGTCTGCTGACTACTAACAGTGTCCCTTTTCAACTGCTCAACAATTTCAGCATTCAATTTTTTATCCACCTGAAGTAACCTATCAAGAGCAAGGAAAGCAGTCGTTACCCACTTTGGAGGTTGACCCTTCTTGTCTATTGAACCAGAGTCCCACTCAGAAAGTAAATCAGTTGCAAGTTTTACCAGTCCAGACTTTGCGGCAATTTCCCGTGCCCCCACATCCTCATAAAGAATTAAAGCAAGAACATGGAAAAGGGCAGAAAGCAGAGAATTGTTTCTGTTCTCAGAAGTAGAATCTCTCACTTGGTCAAGAATGAAGGAAATGACACTGGATCTATATTGACCATCATTTTGGGAGCATATTAATACAAGGAGATCTCTAACAGGGAAAGCTAGAGGTTCCTTCATTTGAAGAAGCTTTGTACATGTTGACAATAATTCCTCAACAGGAGGAAGTTGGACCATCTCTTCTTCAAGTTCCTGGTTACTTTCATTTGTAACATCTAAATTTGTGTCAGTCTCTGAGTTCCCAAGAGACATGGCAAGTGCACGAGCAAGTTCATCCTCCTCCTGGGTTTCCTCTGGATGTGAGAATAACCACTCCATTGCCAACTCCACACTATTAGATCCAACTTGCCTCAGAGCTTCTTCTGCCCTAGATCTGGAAAATCCCATCTCTACAATTGTTGTTATGGTGGTTTCATTAGGAGGGGGGCCCGTAATACGAGCACTATTGCTGCTGGAAACATCTTTTACTTCAACACCAGAGTAAATATGCCTAATGATAGAAATAACTGCAGTGATGAAATCATAACTGCAATCAGTAAACTGTGGATGTGTCCATACAGGAAGCACAGCCTTGAGCACCATAGATTGAAGCACCTTTACAAAAGTTTCAGCATCCCTTGGGAAAGGAACATCTCCCCTTCCAAGTGGTTGCACAAGCAGGTGTTTAGTGAATGGAGACAAAACAAAAGAAGATGCCACCAGATGAGCCATAAGTTTGCCACAGCTAGCTAATGCACCATAAATCCATGCATGATCTCCGAGTTCCTTCTCACCCTGCTTTATATTACCATCATCCATATCCATTAGAGATGCTGGTGCCCTATTAACTTCAAATAGATATTGGCTGGTAGCTTCGAAAGTAGTCAAAACTGATTGAACAACTCCACATCCATATAAGCAGTTTAATATAATAGCATTACAAGAATCGGGCCTGTCCTGGAGAACACCATCAATGAAATCGATAACCTTACCAAAGTAACGACACTTTGTTGATATGGATGCTTCTGAACCTGAAGAATTTACATGACCTCCAAAGTTCATGTGACTCAATGCGATAGAGGCAAAACTAGAGGCAACAGATTTTGATGCAGGGGATGCATTAACAGTATCATCCCGACGATGAGAAGGAAGTAACATCACTTTTCCCAACTCTTGAAATAAATGGGTGATGTGGAAAGAAAGGGACCTCATTATATCACAGCAAGAGGTGTGATAAGATCTCTGCTTGTAATAATCCTTTTTGTTGGCAGTTCCAGAAGCATTTGATGTAGTAGAATGATTAGCTCCAAACCAAGTGTTTAAACCATCAATACCCAATCTCTGATGAAAGCCACTAGCTCGTCCAAGGTCACGATAAAGGTTTATGAGGTCAAAGAACTGGGATTCAGAACTCCATCCTGGTGTCCTCCTCCTTAATAATGGATCAAGGAACCGTCTAAAGGAGTTCAACCTTTGATCTTCCACATCAGTTGCACTGGATTCCTGTTGCTGTGAATCAGGCTCGGCAGAACTCGCACTAGCACCATCATCATCCAGTTCAAGCTTGGCATCTTCACGGAGAGTGATCTGCCATAAAATTTCACGATGAACACAACCAAGATCTTCCAGAACATCTTTTCTTTCATTTCCAAGTTCAGCAAGCAAAGCACTAACCCAGCGATTATCTTTAGAAGCAGCAAGAAATAGAAGGAACTCAATGAGGAAAAGAGGAGAAAAGACTCCATCTACAGGCTTCAACTTGGGATCCAGTAAAAAGGACCCTGAAGCTGAACCAAATCCACTCAAAGCTTTCTTCAAATGTTCCCCAAGAGAAGAACAAAATGCACGAGCTAGAGGAGCAGAGTGATGCTGAGAAAACCCTTTAAAAACCATGGTGCTATGTAAAGCAATAGACATGCCCTCAGATGATTTTACAATACTGGGCCTCAAAAGAAGCTTAAGAAGTGAGTCAATTCCTGATTTCTCCACAAACAGCCGACATGTTTCAGAATTCTCTGTAGTTCTATGAAGCAAAACCATCAGATGCAAAATGCACAATTGAAGAAATTGCTCATCACTGATTCCTTCAGTTACAGAATCCACCACAGAACAGTGCTCTTCATTTCCATTTTCTTCAGAATCAGTTTCCATTGCAGTGCTCTCATTAACTTTTTCCAGAGATGATGACCCAGAGAGACTACTACTGCCCCCAAAGGAATCGATTTTATTTACAATTTCAATGATGATATCAACACCACTGCTTCTCAATGAAGATACATGGCGCAAAAGCTCTTCAACTGCATTAGCAAAAGGAACGATTGCTTCATTCATCAGCAGCACATACTTCTTGCTAGTAAAGATGTCAACAAGGAATCGCAATGCTGAAGTTTCTTTCACAGCCTCCAAGCCTTTGGCATTAAGACACATGGCACCAAGGCCATTTGGGACACATGTTATAGCCTTTGAAGATGGAAGTATGCCAGATAACACTGAAGACAAAAAGGCATCCGGAAGACCCAAATCAAGCAGTGCAGGAAGACATGTGGGATCTTTATGGATAATTTCACTCATAACAGTCACAGCAGAGCAGTAAATATCCCCTCCAAATTTATCTGCATTCCCAAAAATGAGCGACAATGTACCAGGCAGTGAATTTTCATTAGTATTTTGCAGTCTAGTGGAGTTTGCAGGGGCATATGTAGCGGAGCCAAGAGCCTTCAAAAGTACCTTGACAAGCCTCTTTTGGGAATACAAATGGTCATCACTGTATCCAGAGCATTCACCATAGAACATTGAACTATCATTTCCACCCGCTATACCAATAGCTCTATGCACTTCTATCTGTAGCCTCTGAGCTAAAAGCTCCACTCCACCCAGTTCTCTAAGCAATGTTACAGCTGAACTACTGTATTCCATTAGCTTCTGTAATGCTTTTACAGCCAAGTATACAAGATGCATATGATTTGGGTCAGAATCCTCCAAGAGAGGTAAAAATGTTGGAATCATTCCTGACCCTCTAATATTACTCCCTGATGCAGAGGATGATGTGATATGAAGCAGATAGAACTGAAGAAGAGCCTCAATAAAAGAGAGAGATGATGGATCACTGGAACCTTTGAGTGATAAAACTGCCTTCTGGAGCACATTCAGGAGGATCATCCGATTCCCTGCAGTAAAACTAATACTTGATCCACTCAAAATCCGTGCTCGGTCATGAGATGCTGAATATGCAGCTAACTGAGCACCCAATGCGAGCATTGCAAGAGTTCTAATATTTCCCGGAATAGTTTCTTCCGACCGCACTATCCTGATTAATTCATTTGTATACTCCGGTTCATTTGCAAAAATTGATGTCAGCTCATCATTAGCATCACTAGACTTGACAAGCACAATAAATGCAAGAAGGCAAATCCTGCTGTACAGCCTGAATATTCTGGGCGACCGGAAGGCATGCGCATATCTAATTCTTGTTAACAATGAAAACCTGAGCTCAGGTGGTACATTATACTGCTCAATACACTGCTTCATTATCAACAGATCATCCTCCTTCCGCAAATGCAGATCTGGAATGTGTATGACTCTCGTAGAACATGAATTGCCAACTCTTTCTTCGGTGCTTTGAGAATTGAGCCCATGCAATTCAAAATAAAGGCTAGACCCAATCCGATGTTGAGACTTATCACAATCATTTTTTCTGTCTGATGGAAACAAGCTAAGCCCTTCCTCCTGAGATCTCTCATTTACCAATACACACGAGTACAGGCCCAATCCCTCCTCCTTGCTTCCCCATCCCTGAGCAAGAGACAGAAGATAACTGTTTACCGAGCCACATCCAATCAACTTACCACTACCATGGACCTTAGATGGATTTATTTTAACAAGAGCAGAAAGAGTCTCCAATGCAGCTATAACAACTTCGGGATCAGTGGATGAAAGTAGAAGCTTGAAGTGCTGAAAGGAGAATGAGAGTTGTATTAGATAAAACAACATTGAAAGACATTGATAGAGCATCCCATATATTTACAATCTTGCAAGTCACTGTAGTTAAAAGAACAATTTGACTCCATCTTAGCATACCTCCAAGCCATCAAATGAACTCTTTTTGTGGCAATTCTCCAAGATTGTTTGCATTACTCGTAGTATTTGAAGAACTGTATGCTTCGGAAATGGACTATCATCTTCTAGAATTTTATCTGATAGTAGAAGATCATTCCTACAGGACAAGTAAGTCTTGAAATATGTATCAAAATGAAGAAACAGTGGCCTCCAATGATGAAAATTCCCCTGTATTGAAAGCAACAAGAAAGTGAGTGACTTAAAATAAAATAAAGGATAAACAAAAGATAACAAATATAGAAAATCACCTTACTGTACTCCCATCGAAAGCCTGAAAGAGGTATTGCTATATCCTGTAAAGGACTCTGGATCACATTATCAATAAATGCTTTAATTTGAGGCGGCTGCAGGTGTCAGTAAATATAAAAGTTATTTTCCAGAAAAATATATATTTTTTGAAGGAAAAAAAAAAGGAGCAAAGAAATAAGCTTTAAAAGTCATTCCAACGAGCTCTTTGAAATCAGTATAAATTCCATTTAAGCAAGTTTAGCAGCAACCATGATATAAACGGCCATACACGCATATATTCCACAAATGATGTGCATAAATTGTGTTGACTCATTACTCCCTAAAGGGAAGTGGGAGTCAAACCAAAATATGAGTAATAAAGGAAAAAGTAAGTAGCTTATTTTAAAGTATAAAATTAAAGAGACATTGAGGATTTATGATGTAAAGCAAACTGATGGAACTATTTAATGTTTGGGAACTCAAAAATACCTTTTATTTAATGTATAAAAAGTTTTCTAAGCATTTGGCTAACTGGTGGATCATAATTATATTTACAAGACAACTACATCGGAATATTTTCTGCCTAATTGCCTTCTAATTAAACATGCTCAAATTTCACACAGAAAATGATAAATAAATTATACCAATCTTACTAACACAAATGTAGCAACAGAAAATATATGCTATTAAGGAGATAAGCAGCACTTTTTCAAATGTCCAAAATGCATAACATTATGAAATTCTTTGACGATTTTTACAATGGCAGGAATTGGGAGCATGGGGTCAATCATGCTTTTATAACTTTGATCCCTAAGACTCGTAATCCAGAAGGTATTGAAGATTACAGACCAATAAGCCTAGTTGGAAGCCTGTATAAAATTATTTCCAAAGTTTTATCTAGAAGGCTTGTTTCTGTTATCAAAGACATTGTAAGCCCAACACAGTTCGCCTTTATTCCTGGAAGGCAGCTTATTGAATGTGCTTTTGTTGCTAATGAAGCTATTGATTTTTGGAGAAAAAAGGGGAGGAAAGGGGTTGTTTTTAAGGTTGATTTCCGTAGAGCTTATGATTCGGTGGAATGGCTGATTTTATTGAGGTTATTGAAAGTCATGGGATTTGGAGATAAGTGGATTTCATGGATCGAACGATGCATCTCATCTGCTTCTATCTCAGTTCTTCTCAATGGCTCTCCTACTGAAGAATTTCAAATGGGCAAAGGCTTAAGGCAGGGCTGCAGTTTGTCTCCCTTGTTGTTCAATATAGTAGGGGAGTTACTGAATTTAATGTTGATTAAGGCTGCGAATTGTGGGTTGTTCGAAGGGTTTAGCATTGGTGGGGTTGAAAATTCCTTCCGTCTGACTCATTTGCAATTTGCAGATGATTTAATTCTGTTCTGCAGGGATTCCCCTATGCAAATCCTGAACATTCGGAGAATGTTGAGGATTTTCAATCTTATGTCAAGGCTGAACATTAATCTTTCCTAGAGCAAGTTGTATGGTGTTAATTTGGAAGCTGTTACTTTAAAAGAGTGGGCTTCTGATGCAGGTTGTGGGGCGGGTGTTTTTCTTATGACTTACCTTGGTTTACCGATTGGTTCAACCAAAAATTCAGACCTGTTGTGGGAACCAATAATCCAGAACTTTAATTCCAAGTTAGCAGGATGGAAAGTTGCAACACTATCCATGGCTGGAAGACTGGTCTTGGTGAAGGAAGTGCTATCTTCGTTGCCGATTTTCTTCCTATCTCTTTTCAGAATTCCTCCTAAGGTTAATCAAAAGCTGAACTCTTTAATGGCTAAATTTTTATGGGGGGAAGGTCCAGGAAAGAGGCGTATTCATTGGGTTAATTAGGGTATGGTGTGTCACCCTATTGAGAATGGTGGTTTGGGTGTTTTAGATTTGAGTATGATCAATAGAGTGTTACTCGGGAAATGGGTTTGGAAGTTTGCAAATGAGAAAGATTCACATTGGAAGGATATGATTTGTTGTAAACATAATATCAGTAATTCAACTCTTTCAATTAGCAAGGCTGTTACCCACAAAGATTCGTGGATTTGGAGAGGAATATTGAATAACTACGAGAAAAAGGACACAATTGGAGAGTGCTTGAGGTCAAATTCGAAATTGCAAGTGGGGAATGGTAGGTCAATTGCTTTTTGGAATGATGTTTGGGTTAATAACTCAACACTGAAAAATTCAATTCCCAAGGATTTTTGCTCTTTCTACTAATAAATTGGGCAATGTTGCTAATTTTGGTAGTTACGATAACAGTGATTGGGTTTGGAATATTCATTTAAGGAGGAACTTATGTGACTGGGAACTGAACCAGTGGATTTCGTTAATGTCTTTGTTAGATAATATTTATTTGATTGAATCAGCTGATGACTTTCTGGCCTGGTCAGGGAAAGGTGATGGTTTGTTCTCGGTTAAAGCATGTAGGTTGTCTTTACCTTGCAGACCTGGAGGGGATTTTCATTGGAGTAAATTGGTGTGGTCAGGACTAGTCCCTCCAAGAGTTCAAACATTTTTATGGTAGTTATCTCATCATAAAGTGGCAGTTAGAGTGGAGTTGAAAAAAAGAGGGGTTCCCTTGGATAATGTTCAGTGTCCTTTATGTCTAAAGGAGGAAGAATCAATTCAACATCTGTTCATTTCTTGTCCAGTTGCAGTGGAGCTGTGGAATGGATTTCTAAGGTTATGGGATTTATCATCGGTCTTGCCCAAAGATCCCCTATCTTTACTGTGTTCATGGTCTTATCTAATGGCATCGTCTTCTATTTGGAAGTTTATACCAGGGGTTGTTTTGTGGTCTATATGGAAGGCTAGGAACTCAGTGGTGTTCGAAAACTGGGAACTTGATTGTGCTTTACTGTTTTTCATTTCCAGTTTTAGACTAGCAAAATGGTTTCTAGCTAATTTTCCTCAAGTTAAAATTCTGCCTGACTTATTGGTAGGGGATCCAACGCTTGCAGACATAAGTGCTACTTATCCGATTAAGAAGAAAGATCTATGCTGGTTGCCTCCTCCACCATATTTTTTTTAAATTCAACGTGGATGGGGCAGTAAATGTTGATGGCTTAAGAGGTGGAATTGGAGGAATTATGAAAGATTCATATGGATCTATCATGATCACTTTTTCTACTGCTGTGGGACCTGGTCCCCCATTATATGCGGAGTTGAAAGCAATTAAAGAAGGAATTGATTTATTTCTTTGTTCTCAATGGGCGGGGAAAGGTAGACTTGTTCTAGAGAGTGACTGCTTAAAGGCAGTGGAGTGGATTTCGAACCCTTCTTCGGCCCCTGTGTTTCTTAGTTTGATGGTAGGAGAAATTGGATCCTTAGTTACTGCCAAGGACATAATGGTTAAATGAGCTGTAATTTGGAGGCAGACAAGCTAGCTAAGGAAGGGATATGCTGATGGTTTTTTTTATTCATGTTGTTATTGTAGTTATGTTCTGTTTAATCAAGGAAGGTTATAGTGTAATCTATATCTTATGTATTTCAGGGTTAGAGTGTAATGTGTATCTTATGTAATTCAGGGTTTGAGTGCATTTTGTATCTTATGTAATTCAGGTTAATTAATAAATTGAGGTCTTTTTTCCTCCTCCAATTAGTTGTCTCTTCATAAGAGCCAACTTTGAGGGAGGTTGTTATTGAGACATCCTTTTCCTATCAAAAAAAAAATATTTCATTAATATAACAGTAGTCCTTTACAAGACATTAAAGGAGTCTTCCCTGAAAAGATGCAGGAACAACCTGGATAACAACATAAACAATCAATCAATCCCTTCTTTAGCTAACTTATCAGCCTCCCAATTACAACCCCTAGGAATTAAATTCACTATCAGCGCCCTAGAGAGTACATAAGACTCGATCTCCTTAATTAAATTAGTAAAATACATAGGGGGCGAGGCTAGGCGACTGGATCCAATCCACAGCTGATTTACAATCATTTTCCAGAATCAACCTTCCCTTAGGACCAAACTGATGAATAAAAATTTGAGTAGCTTTTCTGATAGCCTTCAACTCTGCTAATGGGGGAGGACCAGGTCCAATACTCTCTGAAAACGACGCAAGAACGGAGCCATTTGAATTTTTAAGAATACCCCCTATACCACCACCCAACCCATCTCTTCTAACAGCACCATTAACATTGAATTTATAGAAATCAACAGGTGGAAGGAGCCATTTTTGTACAGCCTTATTCGAAAACTTTGAGCATTTGATTACATCTGCTAAAGAAGGGTCAGCCATTAACGAGTCCACCGAAATCGACGATTGATGATATTTGGCTAAAAACCACTTGGCTAATCTAAATCTGACAATGAAGAAGCGGGACGACCAGTCTAGTACCTTATTCTCAAAGACAATTGAATTCCTATGTTTTCATATTGACCAAAGGACTACACCTGGAATGAATTTCCAAATCGATGATTTCGCCACCAAATCAGGCCAAGCACTAATGAGGGAAGGAATATCACAAGGTAAAGCTGTAGAAACGTCCCAAATTCGAGAAACTTATTCCAAATCTCCCCAGCCACTGAGCAGAAGATAAACAAATGCTGGGCAGATTCTCACTATGCTTGCACATCGGACAAAGATCCCCATCTGACAAATTAACTCCCCTGTTCTTCAACTCTGATTTAACTGCTAGCTTTTGGTGAGTAGCTTGCCAAAGAAAAGTTTGGATTCTTGGAGGCATCAACCCCGACCATACACAACTCTTCCAAATAGGGTTCTCCACTTGATCATTACCTATAGTCCTTCTGCAGCTTTTGACTGAAAACAACCCATCGCCTTTCCCTGACCATGCTAAAAAATATCCACTACCTCTGTCAGCTGGATGTTGTTCAATTTTATCATTAGTTCTAGCCATTGTTCCAATTCCTAATCACACAAATTTCTTCTAGTTTTGATGTTCCAAATCCAACCGTCAGAGTCATGACAACCAAAGTCAACCACCATGCCCGATTGATTTGGAGACAAAGCAAAGATTCTAGGAAACTGAGTTTTCAAAGGTTATTATCAAGCCAAATGTCATTCCAAGGGAAAGTGATTTGCCATTTCCCAGTTGGAACCTAGAATGTGATCTTAACTTCTCACCGATCGAATCATTC